TCTTTCCCTCTTTTTCCCTCCCCTCTTTTTCTCTCTGTCATCACAACATGCTTAAAAAAGAATACACAACAACAAGGGCAGTATCTGAAGTTTTATTTATTGTTACCAGGTTTACAATTTTTAGAAAACCTGGTATTTACTGTAAAAAAACAAAAAGCCTACATCTATGATTATAACTGTGTTAATAGGCAGTGTGTCCTGCTATGTCCCCCTCCCTTCCCCTCTGGTTTTGTTCTTCCAGCATGCTGGCACTCCGGAACCTTGCAAGGTAGATATTGCAGTTTTTCAGCGCTGCAGCAGAAAACGTTGCCTACCCCTGGCACAGACAGTGCCCAAATTGCAAATGCCTGCTCTGCCACCTTTCTGGAAGAAGCCCTTATACACAAGTAGTCATCATGGCAGTCATGGAACTACTCATGCAAGTAAAAGTTTACGAAGGTGCCTTACAAACTTCATTCTCTTCCCTCCCACCTGCCAAGCAAGGGAAGACAATCAGAGGTGAAATCATTTAACAAAGCAGCACAGTGACTTACATTACTAGAGGGAGGTACCTACAGATCTATAAGAGGACTGGGGGGATTACCCTTTCTGTGTTCATCTGAGTTTCCCATACTACCCTCTTTAAAGAGTTGTGTATTTCCTTCATATATGTAGTTTTTGTTTCTTTCATGTAAACATCTGTACACTGGCAAGATCACTAGTATGTATATACGAAGGTCTTTTTCTGACATTTGAAACTACAGCCATCTCCCTCATTTTCTGCTTGTAGTATAGAAGATAAATATATATTAGAATGCTCTGTCTGCTGATTTTTGCATGACAAAAAAAGTTTCTGAATTGGCTTGGGAATAAACAAATCGGATTCAGAGCATAATATAAATGGACTATTAAAAAACTGTCAGTAAAGACTGATACCATATTAACTTGGCTTTCTGAAGGTGAAAAATACCTAGCAAATCCATGAAAATACATATACCACCAATGTAATAGACATACACCTAACCACAAAAAAAATACTTTCCCCTAAATTGCTTAAGAACCAATTCTAGAAATACATTACTTTGCACAATGGAATCCTGACCCTGGGTGCTACCACAATACAAATGATAAAAAACCCAGTAAGAAATTAATAAAACAAAACCCAAAACAAAACCACAAATAGCTCTTCAAAAACAAACTAAGTAGGTTATCAAAACATAACAAGGAACTAAAAAGAGATGGGGTGATTATGCCTCTACTTTCTTTTTGTTCCTAAAAAAACTAAAAATACGGAGCTAGCCATGAAATTGTGAAGTAGCAGAAAGTCCCTGGGAACAGCTTGACTTTTAAATGAAGAAAATTCCTAAACATATGAATCACCATTGTAAAATCACCAAGGAAATGTAGTAGTTCAGGGGGGGGAAACAACTATTTGTCTACATTTGCCATAGTGATGACAAATTACAAAAGGAAAGTCAATTTTTTTCTAATAAAATCAAATCTACTATTTCTATTAAATACAAATTACAAATGTACTGCACTTGCTTAAAGCTTATCCATCTACTACTAAAGGCAGGGTGATTGAGCATTAGTGAGAATAAAGCCATCACATACTATGGATCTGATCTTACAAAGTGCTGCGTGCCACTGAAAGCAAAGGATACAAAGAATGCTCATCATCTTGCTGGATCCGATGCTGAAACACTGATTTTTATGCTGTGATGGTACATTATCTGCCATGAGAACAAAGCCCCCTGGTGGAGTATTATATGCAGTGCTGACTGACATTGTTTAAATAAATTCCATACCTTTGAAAAAGCTGGTCAACAAAAAAGCTTCAGTGTTTAGTACTGTAAGAACTAAAGAAAAAAAGACTGCTCTGCCCAACTATGGCAGGGACTCATTTAAGTTATTCAAAATGTTTTGGAGCAGAGCAAGAGCTATATTAGCCATTTTTACCCTACTGCATATGTGAATTAGTAGCATATTAAGATGACTTCTTCACAACAGATATACTTTCCCACAAAACCTAGTTGAGGCTTATTTTATGAGAAGCATGCCCATTTTTTAAGTGATACTTATCCAGTGAACACCCCTAAAACCACCAGCTGTGTAATGGCTTCACTCCTCTCCCTAATGTAATTTCTTTATATAGACCATGTGCCTACTCCCTGGCTTATACAGACTACCTATATATGCAGGAAAGTATCCCACTGAAACGTAAATGTGCAGCCTCTGAGGTAGTCCATAGATTTCATAGACATTCGGGCTGGAAGGGACCCTGAAGGATCATCGACTCCATTCCCCTGCCCCAGGGGCAGGAAGTCAGCAGGGATCATAGGATCCCAGCAAGATAAGCATCTAAATGTGTCTTCAAGGCGTTCAAAGCAGGTGCTTGAACTGCCTCCGGTGGCAGTCTATTCCAAACCTTGGGGGCTCAGACAGTGAAGAAGTTCTTCCTTATGTCCAGCCTGAATCAGTTGCGGCGGAGTTTGTGACCATTCAATCTTGTCATCCCTTGGGGCACTCTGGTGAACAGACATTCCCCCAGATCCTGGTGAGCACCCCTGATAAATTTATAGGTGGCCACCAGATTGCCCCTGAGTCTGCGGTTTTCCAGGCTGAAGAGTCCCATGGCTCTCAGCCTGTCATCATAAGGTCTGTTTTCCTGACATCTGATCATGCGCGTGGCTCTCCTCTGCACTCTCTCAAGCTTCTCCACATCCTTTTTTAATTGTGGAGCCCCATCATATTGAAGGTTTATGTTCATCTTGTGGTCAATTGTGACCCCCAAGTCCCTTTCATCTATAGTGCTAGCCAGCGTAGCACTGCTGAGCCTATAAGGATGCTGCACGTTTTTCCTACCAAGGTGGAGAACCTTCCATTTTTTGGTGTTAAACACCATCAGGTTCTCCTCCGCCCATTTCATGAGCCTGTCAAGATCTGCCTGGATCATCCTCCTGTCAGGTGTGGATGCTTTACTCCAGAGTTTTGTGACATCAGCGAACTTGGCTAGCCTGCTTCTGACACCAACGTGTACATCATCAATGAAGATGTTAAAAAGTATAGGCTTTAGGACAGAGCCTTGAAGGACCCCACTGGTCACAGCACATCACGACGATTGACTTCTGTCAACCATCACCCTCTGGATCCTACTGCAGAGCCAATGCCCCAGCCAGCAGATTGTGGTGAGGTCGAGGCCACAGTTAGCCAGTTTTGCCAAGAGATGATCATGGGATACCAGATCGAAGGCTTTTTAAAGTCAAGATATATGACATCAATCTCTTCCCCCTTGTCCAGGTGATAGGTCACCTGGTCGTAAAAGGAAATGAGATTGGTCAAGCAACACCTACCCGCAACAAACTCATGCTGGGTATCCCTTAGGATATTGCCATCAGCTAGTCTGTTAAGGATGGCCTTTTTGATAATCTTTTCTAAAACCTTCCCCAGGATAGAGATCAGGCTGATGGGCCTGTAGTTTGCCGGATCTACTTTCCTCCCTTTCTTGAAGATAGGCACCACATTGGCCGTCTTCCAATCTTTGGGCACTTCACCAGAGCGCCAGGAGTTCTCAAAGATCTGTGCCACGGGCTGGGCTATGATGCTAGCCAGCTCCTTGAGTACCCTTGGGTGTAAACCATTAGGGCCGGCTGACTTGAAGGTATCCAGCCTCTCAAGGTGTTCCTTTATGAGGTCAGCTTTGATGGAAGGTAAAGAATCTCCCTCACCTGGGCCTCCCTGACCCACAATGGGCAGGGGCATCCCATGGGACTGGTGAAAATCTGACGCAAAGTACCCATTTAGCAAGTTTGCATTTTCATGGGTGTACCCACCAGGCCTCGTACATCTTACCTCGGGCTTCCTTGCTCCGAGTGCTTGCCGGTACTCACCTTGCTGTTGCAGGTGGCCTTATGGGAGATCTTCACACGCGTCGCAGGCTGCCCCTTCTCGCCTACCACGACTTTGAATCTTCCAGTGGATGGGGCTTCGTACGACGCAGTCAGCCTCGTCGGTCACCTGCTTCATTAATGTCTTCTGCGAGGCACCTCCTCCTCTACACCTCGCCCTTTACCCAGCCCGGCGGGTTCTGGTCACTCCCTTGATGGACTGTACGTGTCCTTAAATTCTTAACAACGAGCCCGCCTCTCACTCCCTCAGTCTATCTATACACCACCTCAAACCCTTCCAATACGCAGAAACAAACGAAACATCTTTCACAACTTAGATGAGAAACTTAATAAATACCAAGAGAGGCATAACCTTGTGTACCCGCCTCCGCTCTAGTAGGTGTTCCTGCGCCGCCTTCACCCGAGCCCTAGATCTTGCGGGCCCCGGGCTTACGGGTGGACCCCGGAGGCTGCCCCTGCTGATGGCAGGAGGACCCCC